TATATTAACAACATACCTATACATATATATAACTATAAACTTACAAACGTATAAATGAAAATACAAATGCAGATGAACAGGCAGTGTTAGACTATTCGCAGAACTTGGTTTGAATGTTAGATAGTTCGGTAGAGAGCAATAATTTGAAGAAAAGGATATATGCAGATCAGAAGAAAAATCAACCGTAATATATGATATATAGTCCATTAATATATAGGCGTGTACGGTCTATATAATTTAGAAAACTTAATTCACTTATAGAAATAACAGTAAGTATATCACATACGCATTATATACAAAGAACAATTACGACCCAATCCATCACACTCCAGTAAAAGTGGGATGAACATATCTATCTAAGTGGACACCCCCCCCCCCCCCCCGCCCCATCATGTCTAACAAACCCGGCTCTGAGAATCATATGAATAAGTGATATATATCGCGTCTAAAGATTTAGGCTTATCGTTGTTATTACTTTTCTTTTCTACTTTTTCTTCGTGTTTTATCAGGTGGAAATGTCGTTAATCCGAACGCCTTAGATAAACGGAATTTTGAAAGATTTTTCGTATAATGTTTTTGGTACGATGTAGTTTATGATATAAACGCTAATCTCTGAATAATTCTAATAACTGATATTAATATTTGCAAGCTAGGTATGTTTTTTTCTTTTATGAGCCATATTTTAGGATTAGTTGTTTTTTATTATTCATCTTTTTGTTCATTATCTTCCGCCGGTGTCTAATAATGTCGGATCTGAGAATAATCTTGATGAGTGACCTATAAAGCCCGGGGAATTTAGGCCTACCGTTGTTCTAATATTTTTGTGCGTGCGCTGTCAAGTGGAATCGCTTCGCTAGGAAACTGAAACCTTATTGTTTCAAGTTTAATAAAAAAACAACATTTGTTGACACACATAACCACTCAAACAAATATCATATATGCACTCACCACAACACACACACACCCACAACCTAACACACACAACACACAACAACCCACACACACACACCAAAACATACACCACACACACACACACACAACACACACACACACACAAAAACATATAAATATATTGTGTGTGATGTGAGAATAAGACGCCTCCCACATCTTAATTAGTATGGTTTGCGCGCTCATACTTACTTTAAAAATCCATTGATTGCCCTAATCCATCCCCATTGTTCCACCTTGCCTTTCACCCCTCTCTATCTCCCTCGTCTATACTCCATCTCGTACGATTCTAACGTTAACACTCATATTTCCACTACAAAACGTAAGTAACAAACATACAGACAAGCAATTTCTTATTCTCCAAACAGCATTATTTCAGAAGTCTTTATTACGTCCACAAGCCCCACCCTCGTCATTAATATTCAAATCAATATCCCATTCGCTGCAATCTCTTCCGCCATTTGCCCTTGTCTAAAGGCACATCTTTTCATCTCCTACAACTAACCTGCCATCCTAAATAGTTTATACATAAATAATATCTGTTATCTTTCCTCTTCATGTTTTCCTTTTCTTTTGTTCAGAAATTCCTCTACAGAACCCTAACAAAAATATAACATACTCTCTCTCTCTCTCTCAATTTCCTTCGCTTATTCTCTCAATCTAATAACAAAACTCTCTCTCTCTATACATCTCATCGACTTCTCTTCTTCTTTTTTTATCTCTCCGTTTACACATACCTCTCTAATTCTCAACCACATCTTATACATACATTCATTAATCTCATTCCAAAATCTCAAATGCTCTTAAACATGAACATACTAATAAATAAACCTACAATACAATAACATAAAACAGCCCTATATACTCTCCTCTCTTTCTGCTCTTTCTCTGTCCTCTTCTCTCTCGTCCCTGCCTTTCTCGTCTCTTCCTCTCCCCTCATCTCCTCTTCTTCTTCCTCTCTTCTCCTCTCTCTCTCTCTCTCTCTTCTCTCTCGCTCTCCTCTCCTCTCGTCGTCCTCTCTTCTCTCGCTCTCTCCTTCGCTTTTCAAATTTTACCTTTTATTTCTTTCTTCCCGGCTTCTTTTTCCGCCCTCCCTTTTACGTTATCACTTTTCTTCTTGCTTTCCTCTCTTTCTCCACTCTGCTCTTCGCGCGCGTGTTTACGATCTCTTCCCACATTTCATTCTCTACTCCCTCCACTTCTGCTCCTCTCTTCTCTCTCATCTCTTCTCTCTCTCTCTCTCTCTCTTCTCTCTCTCCTCCCTCCTATCTGCTCCTTTCGTCTTCTTCTTTATTCCTCTCCTACTCTTATCCTGATCTCCCATTCTTATTCTACGTATCTATTTATCATTATCGATCTATCTATTCGATCTAATCTCAGGTTCTCTGCTGCTTGTATCTCTCTTCTTCTTGCACTCTTTATCTCTTTTTCTATCCATCTCTACTTGTCTCTTCTTACTTCCTATTGCCTCCTCGCTATCTACCTTCTATCTATCTCCTGATTTTCTCTTGCTCATATTCTTCTTCTCTCCTCCTTCTCTCTCTCTCTTCGCTCTCTCGGCTCTCCCTATCCTCCCTCCTCATTCTCTCTCCTCTCTCATCTTCTTCTTCTCTCTTCTCTCTTTTCTCTCTTTCGTTTCCCTTCTTTCTCTCTCTCTTCTCTTCTCTCGCTCCTTCTCTCTCTCTCTCTCATTCCCCACATCTCTCTCTCTCTCTTCTTCCTCTCTTCTCTCTCCTCTCTCTCTCTCTCCTCTTCTCTTCTTCTCTCATCCCTTCTCTCTCTCTCTCTTCTTCGCTCTCTCTCTCTCTCTCTCTCTCTCCTTCTCTTTCTTCCCTCTCCCTCTACCTTCCTTCTCTCTCCCTCTCCCTCTCCCTTCTCCTCTCCTTCTCTTCCTCTTCCCCTCTCCCTTCTCCCCTCCTCCTCTTCCCTCTCCCTTCTCTCCTTCTTCTCCGCTTCCCCCCTTCCTCTCCTCTTCCCTGTGCCCTCTCTATCCCTTCACCTCTCTCTCCTTCCTCTTCCCTCTGCCCACCTCCCCCGCTCACCCCTCCACTGCACCCCCATCTTCTGCGCATCAGTCGTCCTCTTCCCCCCACCTATACTCGCTCTTCTCTCCCTCTCTTTCTCTCTTCTTCCGTCTCCTCTTCTCTCTCTCTCTCTCTCTCTTCTCCTCTCTCCTCTCCTCTCTCTCTCTCTCTATCTCCTCTTCCTCTCCTCCCTCTCTCCCCCTTCTCCTCTCTCTTCTCTCTCCTCTCCTCTCTCTTCTCTCTCTCCTCCTCGTCCTCTATCTCTCTCCCTCTCTACTCTTGTAGTGGTGCTCCTTTCTCTCTTTCTTTCGCCTCTTCTTTCTTTCGCTTTCTCTCTCTCTCTCTCTCTCTCCTCTCTCTTCTCTCTCTCTTCTCTCTCTCTCTCTCTCTCTCTCTTCTTTTCTCTCTCTCTCTACCTACCTATCTATCATCTATCTATTATCTATGTATTTAATCTTCTACTCGCTGCCTGTAATCTCTCTCTTTCTTTCACTCTTTATCTCTTTCCCTCTCTCTCTTATCTATTCTATCTCATCTCGCTTTCTTTCTCTCTTCTCGCTCTCTCTCTTCTCTCTGCTCCTCTCTCCTCTCTCCTCTCTTCTCTCTGCTCTCTCTCTCTTCTCTCTCTCTCTTCTTTCTTTCTTTCTTCTTCTCTCTTCTCTCTCCTCTTCTCTTCTCCTCTCTCTCTCCTCTCTTCTCTTCTCCTCTCTCTCTCTCCTCTCTCTCCCTTCTCCCTCCCCTTCTCTCGTCTCCTCTTTCCTTCTCCTCTCCCTTCTCCCCTCTCCCTCTACCCTCTCCCTCTCCCTCTCCCTCTCCCTCTCCCTCTCCCTCTCCCTTCTCCCTCTCCCTGCTCCCTCTCCCTCTCATTATTGCCCTCTCTCGCCTTTCCCTATTTCCCTTTCCTCTCTCCCTTTCCCTCTCTCCCTTTCCCTCTCTCCCTTTCCCTCTCTCCCTTGCCCTCTCTCCCTTTCCCCCTCCCCCTTCCCCCCTATCTTCGCCTTACTCTCTTCTCTCTCTCTTTCTCTCTCTCTCTCTTCTTCCTCTCTCCCTCTTCTCTCTTCTCTCTCTCTCTCTCTCTCTCTCTCTTCTCTCCCTCTCTCTCTCTCTCTCTTCTCTCTCCTCTCTTCTCTCTCTCTCTCTCTCTCTCTCTCTCTCTCTCTCTCTTCTCGTTCTCTCTCTCTCCCTCTCCCTCTCCGCCTCTCCCTCTCTATCTCTCTCCCTCTCTCCCTCTCCCCCACCTCTCCCTCTCCCCCCTCTCCTCCCTCCCCCCCCCCCCTCTCTCTCTCATCTCTCTCTCTCTCTCTCTCTCTCTCTCTCTCTCTCTCTCTTCTCTCTCTCCCTTTCCCTCTCCCCCTCTCCCTCTCCCTTTCCCTCTCTCCCTTCCCGCCCCCCCTCCCCCTTCCCCCTCTCTCCCTCTCTCCCTCGCCCCCCCTCTTTCTCTCTCTCTCTCTCTCTCTCTCTCTCTCTCTCTCTCTCTCTCTCTCCTCTCTCTCTCTTCTCTCTCTCTCTCTCTCTCTCTCTCTCTCTCTCTCTCTCTCTCTCTCTCTCTCTCTCTCTCTCTCTCTCCTCTCTCTCTCTCTCTCTCTCTCTCTCTCTCTCTCTCTCTCTCTCTCTCTCTCTCTTCTCTCTCTCCCTCCCTGTCCGCCGCTTGCTTTGTGCCTTGTTCGCCTTTATACGTCCCACTAGGCTGGCTTCTCTTCCATGAATTACATATGTGCACGGACACAGGCAGAAACACACACGGTCACACGTATATAAATGCACATTATTCAGCATTACTCATATTGCAAACACACATACACATACGTACAAGCACACACACCACACACACACACCAACACACACACACACAACACACACACACACACACACACACACACACACACACACACACACACACACACACAACCCTAACCCTTATCCAACCAGCACCCACCCTATCCCACCCCCCACACCCACCAGCACCAGCCTATCCACCCTCACCCACGCCATTCCTTCCTTCAGGAGGGCGAGGCCGTTGTCTACGAGGGCATGCTGGTGTTCAACCGGGAGGTGGAGGAGGCGAGGCGGGAGAGGGAGAAGAGGGAGCTGGAGTGGCAGGCGGAGCTAGAGGAGTCCATGAAGAAGTCCGACCCGACGGGCCATGGTAATGTGGTATTGGTGTTGCTGTGGTGTGGACTTGGTTCCGTCTGGTGTGGTGGTCTGGCAGATGAAAGTGGAATCGTAGTGTGTGGTCCTGTCGTTTTGTGTTATGGTGTGGTATGGGTTTGGTATCATCTAGTGTGGTCCTTTGGTAGAGGAAACTGAATTCGAGGTGTGCGGTTGTGTGGTATTGAGTTGTCTGGCTATGTGGTATTGGTGTGGTATGCATTTAGTATCGTCTGGTTTGATCTTTCAGTAGAGAAAAGTGGAATCGTGTGGTATGGATCTGGCATCGTCTGGTGTAGAGTTATCATAGGAAAGTATGAACGCTACAACGTGATGTGTAGCAATGTGGTATCGCTGCGGTATGGCTTTGGCATCTGGTATGGTGATCAGGTAGAGGAAAGTGGAATAGTGTTATGTGATCATGTAGCATTGATTTAGTATGGCCATGGTAGTGTCTGGTATGGTTATTTGGTAGGTTAATTGTATCACACACTGTGGGGCAATGTGGTATTGGTGTGGTATGTATCTGGTATCATCTAGTGTGGTGATTCCGTATGAAAGTATGAAAGTTGCAAAGTGTTTGAGGTAATGTGGAAATCGTTTGGTATGGGCATGGGTTAGTGTGGTATCGCCTGGTTCGATAGTTTGGTATCTTGTGTGATAATGTGGGATGAATTAGATAATGTCTTGGGTGATAATATAACACATTGATACGCATCGGTTGGTGTGACAAGGTGGCATGAACATGGAATCTATATCTGGTGTGTGTGTGTCTGGTGAAATCAACGTTGGTGTGGCGTTGAATGGTATCGTTTCACTAACTAGTGCGTGTTGAACAGAAGACTCGGCTTCGTTATATTCTGTAGTGGATTCGATTTTTTTTTATGTGTTATTTTGATATACTGGTGCATTGTGATGTATGAGTATACTATAATTTAATTTTGATTTGTCATATTTTTCCTGAGTGATTTTGTAGATATATAATATCTCCTGACAGTATTCCCGGTTTTAATTGAATATGGAAAGCATCTAATTAGAAACTATAATTGTTTGTGATTAATACGGATATCTTGTTGATCACTGAAGATATGAATATTAATTCTAGATTAATCAACATGCACAATGGTTTCGTAATGAAGGAACGCAAAAAGTGAAGGAAATGAAAATAAACTGTATGAAAGGGAAGCAACAATATTGCAGATTTTGCTAGCTCAGATCGCTGCATTTTGATTTTTTTTTTTTCGGTTGTCTGGTTTTATGACTCAGCTGTTAGTTCTTCCAGCCAGTGGCCAGTGAAGCGGGTTTTGGCACAGGCACTCTTCAACTTGAGGGGCGAGTACTCAGGTGTCTTAGTGCCCTGCGTATCTCTTGACTTGTGTCCTGTTGGGTTACTTCCGTGGTGATCAACATGTTCTCGTACACGGGGCTCTAGTGCAATCAAACCTCCTTCATTTCGTCCGCACATTTCCATCTAGCCCCAACGCCGCTACAAACGATTCCGAAGACGACCACTGGGAACCAACCCCTTTTCCCATGGGTTCCTCTCTAACCGCGTCACAAGACCCACAAAAGGACACAGAACCTCCATCCACACCTCAGCAAAACCGCTAACGCCCTCCTCCCCTCCTTCAGGATGCGGCTTCACGGGCTCGACCACGGGGACTCCGGTGCGACACAAGAGCCAAGAGCAAGGACAAGAAGGCAAGAAAACGGGCGAAGGAAACACGCCTCCCTCGCCGACCGTGTCCTCGCCGACGGAGAGGACGCAACTGCCCAAGATCGCCGTCTCCTCGCCGCGTCCAACGTCGGGCGAGGATTGCCGGGTCGCCCAAGGTCGGTGGCGCCGCTGTTCTCGTTCTTGTTATTATCTTAATGAGGATGATGATTGATGCGATTATTTTTGTTGTTAGTATCATTATTGATAGTATTATTATTATTCTTTTTGTTTGTCGTTCGTTATCACATTCATTGTAATATTATCATCATTGTTGATAATAATATATTTTCATCATTTATTGTTACTATCCTCTACTCGGCGTTGCATTATCACAATAAAATTATATATTTGTATATTCTTAAATTATCAAAGAATATTCATCATTATATTATTTTCATCGATTATATAGTTATTTTTTATCTCTATTATTGTCATACCATTATTTATGTTATACATATTATTTATTTATCATTAATTATTATTATCTATTATTATTATATATTTCATTATATTATTATATATATTATTAATTAATATATATTATCATCATCCATTATAATTATCATCATCACATTATTATCATCATTATTATCATTATATCATTATCATTATTATTATCTATACTTCATTATTATTATTATATCATTATTATCATTATCATTA